GCCTTCGGGACAAGACCATGTCAACCAAATGATTCCTCTGCACAATCTGACTTTGCTGCAGCCTAGAATTAAACTGTTGGTCTCGTCTGGCCAGAGGAGAATGGCACACTATTTCTACACACTATTTCCCTTTTTTTAAATACCATAACACCTCTTTGACACAATCTGCATTGTAAAAAGCGCTATATAAATAATGGTGACTTGACTTGACTTGACCTTGTCCTGTAAATGACACTAAAACAATTGATCACAAACCCTTGATTGTTTGGTCAGAGTTTAATGTAAATAAGTACTGAATATTTCAGACACAAAAGACATGCACCAAACAGGTTGATGTGAACAGAGCTGATTTTGTCAAGGTAAAAATGGTGTTGTTTTACACGACCATTAAGGAATTTTAACCAAAGTATGTTGCAGACATTTCATGAAGACCCTAAAGAATCATACCAGCTTCTGGAAAATGGGCATCTGATGTCCCCTTTAACAAGCACAACTTCTGTGTTTGAGGCAAAGCCTAAGATTACTTGAACCTCTTCTTTTTTTTTTTTGCTTTTGCGTGAGTGAGTGTGTGTGTGTGTGTGTGTGTGTGTATGTGTGTGTGTGTGTGTAGTTTAGTTTCAGTTTAGTGTCTGTCCATCTTTTTTTTTCCTATGTTTGGAGCACATATATGTTGTGGGTTCATTCTCTTACTGTGTGCTTTTGACTAGTTTTGTGTGTTTTTGTTGAGTGCCTGGCCTGTCCGTTTTCATTGGCCAGGCCCAGGAGCTCTTGTTTTTGTTTGGTGTCAGCACGTCTTCACATGTTTGCCCTTCTACACCTTGGAGATGGGAATACTGGCGATATTGACATTCTGGCAGTTTGTGGGCTTTGTATAGTACCAGGGAAAGGGTGTCTTACCTCCCCTTGTTGGCAGCGGCTATTTGCACTAAGTGAAAATAGCAGTATTTTTAACAATATGCTATTTACACTAAGTGCAGATAGCGATATATTCTATTTACACTATGTTAAAATAGTAGGATTTTCTGCTATTTATACTACTTATTGCATATAGCGGCAATTATCTGCACCTCAGTATTATAGTACATTATAAAACAGTACGCAGTAATAACGTATTTAGTGTAAATTATAATTTTAATTCAAATTATTAAATGGATGCCACCTTATTGGGACAGTAAAACCCTCCCTACACCTACGCTAACATTTGAAATATGGATATTTTTCTCATTGAAAGGCTTGGAGGGGCCAGGGCAATTTTTAATATAACTCCGATTGGATTTGTCTGAAAGAAGAAAGTCACATACATCTAGGATGCTTCGAGGTGAGTAAAACACAGGCTAGTTTTTCAGTTTTGGGTGAACTAACCCTTTGTTTTTTCATGCGCTTCTCAATTTTGAGATTTTGGTCTATTTTGCCTCCATAACGTTTTATTTCAGACTAGTGGAAAGAAAACATAAAAAAATACACATTTGTTCATTTATAGTGTTTATTTTATTTCACTATATTTGCTTCAATTATAATGTACAATTGTGCTCAAGAGTTTGCATACCCTGGCAGAAATTGTAAAATTTTGGCATTGATTTTGAATATATGAGTGATATTGCCACTCTTTCATTGTCTATAGTCTTTTAAACTGTCTTTTATTTAAGAATAGTGATCATGTGAAGCCATTTATTATCACATAGTTGTTTGGCTTCTTTTTAAATCATAATGATAACAGAAAACATTCAAATGTCCCTGATCAAAAGTTTACATACCTTTGAATGTTTTGCTTTGTAACAGACACACAGGGTGACACACATTTAAATGGCAATTAAAGGTTAATTCCCCACACCTGTGGCTTTTTAAATTGCTATTAGTGTCTGTGTATAAATGGTCATTGAGTTTATTAGCTCTCAAGTCGATGCACTGAACAGTCTAGAAACTGAGCCATGGGGAACAGAAAAGAACTATCCTAAAGGACATGCGTAACAAGGTAGTGGAACTTCATAAAAACGAAAAAGAATATAAAAAGGTATCCACAGCCTTAAAAAATGCATTTGGATCTATTGATACCAAGCCAAGGTCAGGTAGACCAAGAAAGATTTCACCCACAGCGTGAAGAATTGTGTGGGATACAATGAAAAACCCACGTGTAACCTCAACAGAAATGCAGGCTGCTCTGGAAAAAGACGGTGTGGTTGTTTCAAGGATCACAATACGATTGTCCTTGAACAAAAATGAGCTGCAGGGTCAAGCTGCCAGAAAGAAGACTTTGCACTACCAATGCCACAAAAAAAGCCCGGTTACAAAATGCCCGACAACACCTTGACATGCCTCACAGCTTCTGGCACACTGTGATTTGAGTGACGAGACCAAAATAGAGCTTTATGGTCACAACCATCAGAGTTGGGACTTTCATCAAATCATGTCCCAAGTCCTCAAAGAGTTAAAGTTAATGATATAATTAAGTGACTAATTAAATGATGATTGTGCGTTAGTGATGAACAGCTGCTGTTATTGAGAATTACAGAGGATCAGATGTTGATGTTTTATTGGTTAAAATGATGACACCATCATGGAGATCAGTGTTTGCTTTAGTTGGGCTCTTGACCCTTAAGTTTCATGGTTAATCTCTTTCTGTAGAAATGCATAAGAAGTTGTACAATTGACATCTATTAGCTGTTTTTATATGATGAGATTAAGTTACTTTATTTTCTTTTCCATTTATATGTTTAGGTTTTGCGTAATCTGCCCTGTGAAACTACAGTGTGCAAACAAAGTGCTGTTTAATCGTAATAGTGAATGGATTTTTAATCTATGTTAAGCATATACAAATTTTAAGTCACATTATTGGAACACACACAGACATCAAGAAGCAGCATATGAATCTCAGCAATGGTGACAATCAACGAACTGCTTCATGCTGCAATGCATGCTGGGTAACACCATAGTAAAAACCCCCATCATGCACTGCAGTATGAAAAATTGTCACCACTGTTGAGGATCATATGATAAGTGTTCATGTCTAAAACCTGAACTCATACAGATATTTTATAAACAGTACCGTGGCATGTATAATATAATTTTTTACAGTTCAGTAATATCTGATTGTCAGTCAATAAACCAAAGAAAGAGCTCTTCATGATGTTCATATGAATATGAATAAAACACACTAAATATCGCAGTAAGTGTTTTCCATAGAAATCCATTATGAAGAAAATGTTTAATGTGACTTAATGCACTAGTGAAATTAGACAACCAAATTTAGTATACAAACATTATTCATACAGGCAAGCAAATTTCAAAAAAGCACAAAATTTCGTGCTGAAAAAAATGACAAATGGAAAATGTACATTCTGGTTGGGAAAGTATTGTATAATGCATCTTATCACATTGTTCTGTGAAATACTTGATTCTGATTTGTCAGACAATGCATTGAGTGGTCTAATATTCCCCGCTGGCCATGATAACGCTGTATATCATCATTACAGTGTGTGTGTGTTTGATTCTGTTGTTAGCCGGAGGACTGAGTGTGTTGTTGCTCAAGCGGAGGTGTAAAAAGACAAAAGACAAAAAACAAATGCTCTGAAACCAAAAGGCATACCAAAATGTTTTTAACTTCTGTGTTCTTGTATGTTCACTTTCACGCTTGCATCATATTGTCCATCCACAGGTTCAGGCTCATCAGAGCAGAGGAGATGGTGATGAGGTAAAAGAGCATCTACAGTGTTTATCTATTAGCATGACTACACTCTAAAAAAATGCTGGGTTAAAAAGGGAAAAACCCAGCTATTGGGTTGTTTTGACCCAGTGGTTGGGTTCAAAACAACCCAATAGCTGGATTTGTCCCTTTTTAACCCAGCGCTGGGTTATATTTAACCCAGCATTTTTTTTAGAGTGTACAGTATTTCCCAAACAGTGTAGAACAATATTGGTGTTCAAGAAGTAATTAAAAAAGATAAAAATCCATAATAGAACTAGTAATCCCAGATGTTATTTGATTAAAATAATAAATCTGTCCCTTTCAGGTAGTTTTCATCTGCTTATTATGCAACGATCCCAGACTCTGGAAACACATCATTACACCCATCTGCTCTGAAACCTATCAGATTAAACACAGTTTATGACATTTTTACCCACAAACCCCTCTGACAGTGATTTCTACACACTGGCTGAACAACCCAAAATTTGACTTCATATGAAAACCATTTGTAACTATTTTGCCAGTTTTTTTTTGTATGTATATGGATGCTCTTTTTTGGTTCAATAAAATAATCAATAGTACTCCAATGTCATATAAATATTTTGGTACAAAAATCTACACAGTAAGATCAAATTGTCCAAATGTCAGTTTAATGGCTCTTTAAAGAGTGCAGAATTACAATTATTTGTAGTAATGGTTAATTTTGAAACCTCAAGTCATTCAATGAAAGTTTTATTATTTTTTTTTTTTTTTTTTAATCCAAGCTAAGATCTTCAAAGGACTGTTTAGGGGGGAAAAAATACCTGCGTTTTTGTTTCACTTTTTTTCTGACACTGCATGGAATGGCAATATTTGGTTCAAAAGTCATATTGACCAGAACAGCTGAATGAATGAATGAATGAATGAATATGCATGTTGGTTTTATGTCAAAGTAACTGAAAAAGGCTCATCCTCTCATTATGGGCTGTAATGTCATTATTAGATCATACTGACACACAGTGGTCACATATGCAGGTTACACACAGTCCAATATGAACGATGCCTGATGTCTCTCGGCTATGATTATATTGCAGTCCTTCTCATTAGAGACTCGTTCAATCATGTGTGTGCTAAGCAGCACATATTCTGTTCTAAGATCAAGATCACATTTATTGAATGAAGATTTAGAAAACGGAGGGAGCTCCTGCTGCAAACACTGTGTATTTCATAGAGAGGAGGAGCAAATGAGAGAAAGAGAGAGAGAGAGAGAGAGAGAAAGACAGAGAGAGCTTGAGCTCTTCATTAATAGAGACCAGCAGCTGCACACAGATAAAGCAGAATGATTCAGATCTGTGACGATAAACTCCTCATATTTCACCTGCTGCTCCTCGTGTCAGGTGAGAGTTATCCTGTGTCTCTCTAACAGTCTGTCTGTTCTCAATCAGGTCCATGTTTGCACTGAGCGGTTTCTCTCTCTTCATGTTTTTACAGTCTTGGCATGTGAGACGAGTGAGATCTTGACTTTCACTGCCCACGAAAGAGGGAACGTTGATATACAATGTCCATATGAGTCTGGATATGAAGAACAGAAGAAGTATCTCTGCAGAGGAGAGTGTCCAATAGTGATTAATAAAGACAAACCTGTTGAATCTGAATCAGCAGCTAAAGATAAGAGATTCTCTCTGACTGACAATAAAACAGCCCGGATCTTCACCGTCACCATCACTGATCTGAGAACAGAGGATCAAGGCAAATACTGGTGTGGTGTAAAGACGGGATTTGGAAATTATGATTATAAGAGAGAGATTTACCTGGAAATTAAACATGGTAAGTCAGAATATACTGTATGTGTGCTCATATATGAACAAACCAATATAACACTAAAATACTCTAAAGTAATATGTCAGAGGTCTGTTTGCGTATGTGAAAGTACTGTATCATGTGCTGAAAGATGCAGAGAGGCGAGATAACAGAAACCACAATATCCTCTGCAGATGGTGAAGAGCGACTGTTCACACCACACACAACAAAAATACTGACCCACATCACTTCCTGTCACATGACATGCAGTTTCTTTGAGAAGAAATAGTTCATTCAAAAACAGAAAGAATAACTACACAACTCAAACGCTCAGATTTATTTGTTTCTAAAATATACATTTCAGCCATCAGCCTTATATTCTTTCAAATCAGTTACATTTGGCAGCTTTTCAAGTTTGCGGTATCTGTTGACATTTAGTGATTCTAAAGGTCAAGGTCTTTTTCGTTTCACATTCATGACATTATCAGCGTTTGTAAGCAGACGGCCAGTGAAAACAGCATCAATGAATGTAAAGCAGAAAGAGCTGACATTATTCAGACTAGTTTCTGATTAAACCACCAATTTGGCATTGTACGCACTTGATTCTTTTCTTTTTATGCTCTGATTTAGTGTCCCGAGTGTCTGGTGTGACTGGAGAGCATCTGAAAATCACCTGCCGTTATGACAATGAACTGAAGGATAATGTCAAAATCATCTGCAAAGCAAGCAGCACGTCCCTCTGTGAGAAATCTATCAAAGTTTCATCAGAGAAACACAGTAATGGACGATTCTCTCTGAGCGATAATGCATCTGCAGGAGTTTTTACTGTGAACATCGCTGAGCTGACAGAAGAGGATTCTGGGATATACTGGTGTGGAGCTATACAGAGAGGACAAGGGCACAAGAACAAGTGGATTTCAGTCACTGATCTCAAGATTTCTGCAGGTAAGACACCATCAGCCATTTTATATTATGTTTAGGGACATGTGAAAATGCTAAACACACATCGCTGGTCACACATAAGCCGCTGAATTTTCACCACAACCTCCACATTAGTGAAGCGTCACTAACAGCTGTGTCTGGGAAAGTTCAAAGTGTCACATGACCTTTTGCCACAGTAAGACCATAGAAATGATACTCTGTATATTTATTCTGAAATGCATGCTCAATATATTAAAAGCATCTTAAATAGTTTCTGTTGTCATCGTTTCTGGAAATAACTGCATGGGCTGTCATGCATTAAACCCAATGATGATTTGTGTTTCAGTCTCATCAGAGAGGGTGCCACCTAAACCACCAACAACAGCTTCATTTCACACCAGCACACCAGCGACAGCAGATACTGCATCCGACAGAACCGTCACATCTTCATCATCATCTTCACCATCAACATCAGTGTTAATGTTTTTCTCATCGGCTGCTAATGCAGTGTCACCAAAACCACAAACAGGTGCGATCAGTTCTGTTGCTCAAAGTGTCTGAGATGTGCAGAGACATTTGTTTCTCAAGTTTCACGTAAAACAGGACATTTAGAGACATTTATTAGATGTTTTTGTCTGTTTTTCAAGGTTTTGCACCAATCATCATGGTGGTGGTCATAGGGATACTGACAGGGTTTGGATTCTCATTGTTCATTTATTTAAGACAAATAAGGAAGGCAAAAGGGCAAAAGGAAGAAGGTAACTGTCTTTCTCACATCAATCTACTTGATATATAATTGTTTTTATTCTCATTTGCCATAAATCTCAGCACTGTCATAGTCAAACCGGACTTCAGAGTCTCAAACTTGCACACTGTGTCAAAAGAAAGATCTTTAATAGATGTTGTCACAAAACAGGAACGCAGCCCACAGATGTGGTTCATGGCCCGTCTAACAATCTGCCCAGTCGATATACTGGAGAAACTAAAGAAGTGAGCTTCATCATGTGTCTGTCTGAGTTCAGTCTGTATTGAGTAGTGAATTCTAATCATCTTTTCCACTCTTAAACCTTTTATTTGTCTTCTTCTCTTCAGGCCACACATACGGTCTACGATTATGAAGACGTTAGTAGCTCACTTGATCATCCTGACTATAGTCTGGTCCTTCCAGCATTTGCTAAACATGACGCCTCTGTTTATGCTTTAGCACAATTACCCAGCAGCCCCTCTGACAATCTCACTTACTCCAGCATCAAATTTACAGCTGCACATCATTCAGACAGGACTTCTGATGGGCAGGAAACATGCGGCTACGCAACCGTTAGACCATAAAAGACTGAGGACACTCATGGAGACCAGATTAAACCTGAGTCACACCAAACTGAGAATGCTTCTCACTTACTTTGTGATTTTAAACATGTGGCCGTAACATTATTTTGGATAAGTCAGTTTTTGAGACATACAATTGTTTGACGTATGTTTGGCTACATTACCGATTGTCTGTTATTTATTCATACCCACAAGTCCTTTAGTATTACAGTACATAGTGAAGAAATAAATGAGTGGAGAAAAGCAGTGTTGCGGTGTGTTAATAAAAGTTCAAATTAAAATCAGAATGAAAAGTAGTGTAACAAAAAGTAACTGACAGGTTGAAATGTCAGTGTGAGCTAATTAATACTTTTGAGATAGTTGCTGTTATCTATGCCCTCCCAGTCTAAATATCAATAATTGTGCAATATACAGTATCTCACAGAAGTGAGTACACCTCTCACATTTTTGTAAATATTTTATTATATCTTTTCATGTGACAACACTAAAGAAATTACACTTTGCTACAATGTAAAGTAGTGAGTGTACAGCTTGTATAACAGTGTAAATTTGCTGTCCCCTCAAAATAACTCAACACACAGCCATTAATGTCTAAACCGCTGGCCACAAAAGGGAGTACACCCCTAAGTGAAAATGTCCAAATTGGGCCCAAAGTGTCAACATTTTGTGTGGCCATCATTATTTTCCAGCACTGCCTTAACCCTCTTGGGAATGGAGTTCACCAGAGCTTCACAGGTTGCCACTGGAGTCCTCTTTCAGATGTTAGAGACCTTGCGCTCCTCCACCTTCAGTTTGAGGATGCCCCACAGATGCTCAACAGGGTTTAGGTCTGGAGACATGCTTGGCCAATCCATCACCTTTACCCTCAGCTTCTTTAGCAAGGCAGTGGTACATTAGGGTTCGTACGGTCATGAAAAACCTCGAAAAGTCATTGAACAGCAATTTCCAGGCCTAGGAAGTTTTGTCAAAATAAATAAACTCAAAAAGTTTTTGAAAAGTCATGAAAATCTATTTCACAATTCTCTGTATAATAGAATTATGTTTAATCAGATCCTGAATTTCGTTGCGGGATTGCGCATACATCACATTACTCATTCCCGCAGCTTTCGACTTTAAAATGAGGGAAATTACTGCAAAACCTTTATTCAATATAGCGTGTAGGTTAGATGAGTAAATAAATCCAC